CAGAATCTTACCGTCGTAGATACTAGCGATAGTTCAATCACCGAATTAAGTTGTTGGTGGTAGGAAGATAAACACAGTGTTTTGAGTCGCCTGACCATTATGTCTAACAAATGCTGTGAAATATTGTATTTATTGTAACACTATACCGGTTATTTAGAGTTTTCTAGCAACAGTTAGTTTCTCTAATACCAAATCTTAGCATATATATATATATATACACTTCAGATTATCACTTCGCATTCTCAGTCGTTTCTTCGGATTGTCGCTTTAGTACTTATTACCTATCCTTGTTTCTAGAGGTGTAGAAGATCTTTTTGACAGGTCAAGTTGTGTTAATAAATATCATTATGTTAAAGTCACCGTTGCCGTTTTAACGAGAAGAGGTAAAATCTCATAAACAGCGCTCATGTATATTTTTTGATCAATTGCTGAAGTTCGTTTTTGCTATTTAGAAATTGTTTTGTACAATTGAAGAAGCGTTTTCATCCGTCCCTCGCTCTGTGATGTGGTAAGCTCCATAATTGTTGTTTTTAGATTGTATTGCGAGTAATTAGTGTGATTGCAAATTAACTCTGCGCGTAGACTTAAAAATTCTGATTCTGTTCAAACGGTGCTCTCACGTTCTCAATGATATGCTTCAGGTGCAGCAACCGTGCGATTGCCTTGATCGACTCTTCTGGTTTTAGTATCAAGCTGATCGGTTTCGAAGGAGAATCGTTCTGGTAAATAATCTCCTTGCTTTGTTTTTACTACAATTTTCAGTGTTTCTCAGCCTTAATTATGACTGCAACGTAATGTTGGTTCAAGAAATGGACGGCATCAGGATATACACCCCTAAAATTCAAGAATTTCTGTGCGAGGTGGAAGGTGAGTCTATTCTCTTGTCCTTGTGTATCATATCCTTTACTGATTATTTATTTCTACAGACTGGACATTCAGAGTTTTCGGTATTGGATCGCTAGATTACGGTAGCATTCTGCTCGAAGCATTTTTGCACTTTCAGGTTAAAACCCTCGGCTGCGTTCTGTCTTTGTTTTAATCGTAAAAGCGTTGTTTTCAGAACAAAAGTTTTAAGTCTTTCGAGTACATGCATCTGATCGAGAATCATATGAACGAGGCGATTCAAACCTGTGTTCAAGCAGCTCTTCACTCATTTCAGCGTCAGCAGCAAAAGAATTTAATGCAGGTGCTTTGTGCTACGTTTCTAACAATTAAAACACAGTTCAAGGACGTCTAGTCTGATACAGACAAACCTGATAAGGCAAAATAGTGGAAAGTACAGAAATTAAGGTTTTAACACTTTTTGAAATATTTTTCCATTAAGGCTATTTATTTGTCACTTAAATAATGACATTTCAGTTCTATGTCCATAATCCTCAGTAGTGCAGATTTCCTAATTCATAATTATGACGTCCAAAGAATAGAAGATATTTGTTATGACATGCACTCACAGGCTTTCAGAAAGGACAAGACAAACTGGCAAAAGCGCAAAACATTACTGAAGCATAACAGGAATGTTTCTTAACAAAAATGATGATTCAGACATCGATACCAAGATTAGTAAAGTGTGAATATCGTATTTCTTTAGGGTGTTGAAGCAAACAAGGTGGAGAGGAATGACTGGAAAGTTACGCACAAAGGATTAGACTGACAAATTTGAATGGATGAGGATGCAAGAATCATGAAAGAAGCACAGAGTACTAAGACCCATTTACTAGAGTTTTCATTATGCATGAAGTTTTGCCACCTGCTGGCGGGGCTGACCATGGTTTTGAGAATTTCATACAAGCAAGTCTCCAATTCCGTCCGGTTTTTTAATCGAAGTTGCATCTTCTAGCTTTTGGCTAACCGACATCTAGCCACAAGACGGCGGTAAAATTGGCGTCCTTTTTCTTAAGTGGAACTGGTCCTTTTCTCCTTGTCATAAGATTGTCATTGGGCATTGTGACTTATTCTCTGACGGCCGAATTTCTCGAGTTCGAAAACAGCCCCGCCCTAGTCGTATCACCATTGCTTCTCAGCGAATGTTTATTTGTCGCACCTTCATATGCTGAGATCGCTCCTTCATCCGTAGTCTGGAAATGCGACAGATCGCCTGCGCCAATCATATTTGCTCATCATCGTCATCATCATCATTATTATCATCATCTTCCATGTCCGCTACTCCTTCCGGACCGTGGAGGCAGACGGGCCAGATAGTGCTTCCAACATTTACATTCCTGGCTAGAGTCTGAGCTTCGACAGAAGACAACTGGAGACTTGAACAGACTCCTTCCATATATTTGCACCAGGTTAATTGTGGCAGTCCCTTGAAACTTCTGCCGGTCGGTTTCGCAAGAAACTGTTGCTTAGCCTTCCTCCTTGGAGGCATTCGCAACACGTGCCAAACCCATCGCAGCTGAGACTTCTCAATCAGGAGAAACAGAGGCTGTACACCAAGGCTCTCCCGGATGTCAGTATTCTGGACCATGTCGAGATGCGTAAGGCAAGCGACTCGTCTAAGAAAGCCCAATTCAGCAGCTTGTACCCGGGTTCGAAGCTTTTCTGTCATGGTCCACGACTCACGTCCGTAGGTAATGAACATGAGTGCTTAGTGTTCAGACTGATCTCTGCTTTGGCCACGATGCATCGGGCTAATTCACGCAGTACGCCACTGGTTACTCCAATTCGCCGATCGATCTCTTCCTGAAATTTTCCGTCACTATTAAATACGACTCCCAGGTACTTGAACACCTGCCCCACTGCCTCCGTTAATCTGAAGAAAGCAACCAGCAGGAAAGCGAGAAAGTACCAGGCTTTTCGTTTTAGATGCGTTCATACGCATGCCGGCTATGTCACACTCGGCTGGAAACTTTCTAGGGAGCACTGTAGATCAGTTTCAAAAGATGCCGACAAAACAAGGTCGTCTGCAAACAGCTGCCTTCTCCTCTTCACATCTCTTGCACCGATGCACTCATCGCCTTGTCAGCTCCTGACTATTCTATCCATGTACAGCACAAACAGGATAGGGGACAGGACGCAGCCTTGGCGGAGACCAGTGCTAGCGTTGAATGGTTTCGACTTAACGCCATTAACTCTGACACAGCACCTGCTATCAGAATACAGTGATTGGATGGCTCCCAGCAGCTGGCCATCTATCCGGTATGGTCGTAGCCATGACCACAGACTGTTGCGTGGGATCCATTCATAGGCTTTTCCTAGGTCAAGAAAATGCATGTACACCGGACGGGTGTACACCCACGATTTCTCAACACTCTGGCGCAGTAAAAATATATAGTCAGAGGTGCTTCGATCAGGCCGGAAGCCACACTGCTGTTCTTGTATCTTGGAGTCAGTTATTCCGCGGCACCTCCTTTATAACACCTTTGCGTGGACTTTACCTGGGAGGCTCAATAACATTATGCCCCTATAATTGGAGCATTCCTTGCGTCTCCCTTCTTGAATACAGGTATAATAACCCTCGTGCTCCTGTCTGCTGGTGTCTTTCTTCTAGTCATCGGTGTTTGACAGATACGTGTAGGGAACCACGTGCCTTGTTCGCCTTATGCCTTGCGCATTTCAAGGCGGATTTCATCAGTTCCTGCATGCTTTCGACTTTTCAAGCTTTTCACAGCTTGAGTAATTTAGTCTACAGAGGTAGTAATATTCGTACCCTTCTGCTCTACAGGTGAGTCTTCCTGCGGTTGCTAGGGATTAAGGTGTTCCTCAGAGTAATTCCTCCATCGCCGAAGAATGTCATCATCCTTGGTAAGAGGGTGTCCAGATCTGTCCTTCAAGACTTTGAGA